GCAGATGGTCGTGTTTTGATTAAATTTGGCGATGGTGATATAGATTTTGATAAAAATTTCAAATTGTTTATAACAACAAAGATACCAAATCCAAGATATTTACCAGAAGTATTTATTAAAGTTACAGTAATTAATTTTACAGTTACTTTTGAAGGTTTAGAAGAATAATTATTAGCAGATGTGGTTAGATTAGAAAAAGAAGAGATTGAAATTCAAAAAGATGAGAATGTTATGAAATTAGCTTAATATCGTAAGATGTTGAGTGAATCAGAAGCTATGATCTTAAAACAATTAGCTGAAGCAGATCCAGAGAAGATTTTAGATAATGTAGATTTAATTACATCATTATAATCTGCAAAAACTACAAGTGAAGAAAGTAATATAAAAATTGAAGAATCTGTTGTATTAGAGAAAACTATAGAAAGAGTACGTAATGAATATAGATCAGTAGCAGTAAGAGGTTCAGTATTGTATTTTGTAATTAAAGATTTAAATCTTATTGATCCAATGTATTAATACTCCTTACAATATGTTTAAGTGATGTTTAATTTGGCAATGAGATAGGCATAACCAGCTGAAGAATTATAATAAAGATTATCTAATTTAATTGATAGTATAACAAAAGTTATTTTCACCAATGTATGTAGAGGATTATTTGAGTAGCATAAATTAATTTATTCATTTTTGATTGCAGCCTAAATTAATAGAAAGGCAAATAAAATATCAGATGGTCTATGGAGTTCATTTTTAAGAGGTGCAGGTGTTATTGAAAAATCTAAATTACCAGCTAATCCTGATAAAGTATTAATTGGAGAATCATCTTGGGAATTAGCTGCATATTTGGATCTTAATTTTGAAGTTTTTAGAGGTTTATGTTAACATATATAAAAAAATATGGCTGCATGGAAAACATACATTTAATCATCTGATCCTTTAGTAGTTAAATTAGAAGAACCATATTAAAGCAAATTAGATGAATTTGAAAAAATGATGATTATTAAGATTTTTAGAAGCGAAAAAATATTATTTGCACTTTCAAATTATGTTGAATAAAACATTGGTAGATTTTATTTGGAATCTCCAAATACAACAATGGAAACATTATATAATGATTCAGATGTTTCAACTCCAATAATATTTGTATTATCATAGGGTGCAGATCCAACATCATAAATTTTGAAATTTGCAAAGGAAAGAAATTTTGAAGAAAATTTAGCTATTATTTCTTTGGGTCAAGGCTAAGGAAAGATTGCTACAAAACAAATTAATGATGCCACTTAATCAGGAGGTTGGGTTTTATTATAAAATTGTCATCTTGCAAGAACATTTATGCCAGACTTAGAAAAATTAGTAGATGATATTACAGCTAAGAAATCAACAATCAATCCTAGTTATAGATTGTTCCTCACTTCTATGCCTGCTTCCTATTTTCCAGTAAGTATACTATAAAATGGAATTAAATTAACAACAGAACCACCTCGAGGTTTGAAGGCTAATCTTAAAAGATCTCTATAAGATATTTCTAATGAATTTTTGGATACAGCAGCAAAACCAGAAATTTATCATAAATTAGTTATGGGATTATGTTATTTCCATGCCATTATTTAAGAACGTAAGAAGTTTGGTCCTTTGGGATGGAATATAAAATATGAATTTAATGATAGTGATCTTGAAACTTCAAAGACAGTTATTAAAATGCTTTTAGGTGAAAATGATACAGTACCTTGGGATGCTATGTTATATGTGAGTGGTAATATCAATTATGGTGGTAGAGTAACTGATGATTGGGATAGAAGATGTTTAATGACTATTTTGAGGAAATTCATATGTAATGAAGTATTGGATGATAATTATGTTTTTTGTGAAAATAATACATACAGAATACCTGAAAAAAGTGTAGTTGAAGATTATATTAAATATGTTGAATCTTTACCTATGACTGATGATCCTGCAGTTTTTGGTATGCATGAAAATGCCAATATCACATTCTAATAAAGAGAAAGTGATTCAATTTTAGAAACTATCCTATCTATATAACCAAGAGAAGGTGGTGGATCATCAGAAAAAACACCTGATTAAATTGTATTAGAACTTGTTAAAAGTATTTAAGATGATCTCCCTCCTCTCTTAAGTAAAGAAGAATCTAATAAAGAATTATGGTAAATTAATCCAGAAAAAAATCTTATTCCATCTTTATCTACAGTTTTATTATAAGAATTAGAACGTTTTAATATTTTACTTTCAACTATGGCTAGAACATTATAAGGATTGGCTTAAGCTATTGAAGGTATAGTTGTAATGAGTTAAGAATTGGATAGTATGTATTATTCACTTATGAATAATGAAGTTCCAAAAGTTTGGAATAAAGTGGGATATTTATCATTAAAAGGTTTGGCATCTTGGATTAGAGACTTAAAAGAAAGAGTGAAATTTATGTCAGAATGGCTTATTACAGGTGGGCCTAATAGTTTTTGGATATCAGGATTCTTTTATCCTTAAGGATTTTTAACTGGTGTTCTATAAACTCATGCTCGTAAGACAGCTATAGCTATTGATAATCTTGTCTTTTCATTTAAGGTATAAGAATTTGAAAAAGAATAATGCTCAATAAAACCAGTGGATGGTGTTTTTATTTATGGGTTATTCTTAGAAGGAGCTCAATGGAAAAAAAAATGTCTGGCAGATCTTAATTTTGTAATATTTTATCATTAATATTTAGGGTCAAATGAATATGTTGATGCCAGTGATTCATTTCTTACCTTTACAATAGGACAAATATTAATAGAGATCTGATAATTATAGGTATTATTTATATTAAAATTATTAGTTGTCCTGTTTATAAAACATAAACAAGAGCTGGTGTCTTATCCACTACAGGACAAAGTACGAATTATGTTTTGGCTGTGGTAATTATTTATATATATATAAATAATTTTAGGATTTACCCACTTTAGATTAACCTCCTGATTATTGGACATTAAGAGGAACAGCACTTATTTGTGCACTTAAAGAATGATTTATAATTGAATAAGATAACTTTAGATTTATTATTAAAAAATAACTCGAAATAAGTAAAAAATTAAGATTTTTTCAAAGAGGCAAGATAGCCTTATTTTCCTACTTTTTTAAAGATTTTTCATTTGGCTTTTTGTCTTAAACTACAACTCTTTTTCCTAGTTTCCATTGACCCTTCTCATGAGAATTATTTGGATATATTATTATTCCTTATCCATGCATCAATCCCTTTTTCCACATACCTTTATAAATCTTTCCATCTGGATAATAATATTCTCCATATCCATCTCTTACATTATTTACATAATTTCCTATGTATTTCTTTCCTCCTGGCCATATAAATATACCATGACCATGCATCATACCATTACACCACTTCCCTTCAAACTTTCTACCATCCTACCAAATAACTTTTCCTTCTTCCATTGCCTTACCATTTATCCATTATCCTTCAAATACAAATTATTCCTTATTATTGAATAACTTTCCTTATCCATTTCTTTAATTGTTCTAAAATTGACCGATAAAAACTGATCCATCAGGCATCTATTCTTTTCCGATACCGTTTTTTTGTCCATTTTCCCATTCTCCTTCATATACTACTTATTCAGAATTTAAATAAAAACCATCACCACTAAATTATCCATTTTTGAACTCTCCAATATATATATTTCCATCATTACTAATCATTCTTCCATCACCATGATAAACATCATTCAACCAATATCCTTCATAAATAAACTCATCACAAATCAAAAATCCAAAGCCATTTCTTTTTTATTAAAACCATTCTCCATAATAAATTAAGTTATCTTCTAGTTCAAATGGTTTGAAATGACAATTTGTCACTTTATATGGTCCTAACCTATTCCACAATCCAGCAATAATTCGATTCTAAATCATAATTTAAGCACAAATATATGGTTTAGCTTAACTATTAAATGGATGATGGTTAGATGTTTGAGATTCCAAATCATCCAAAACAGCTACAATTATTGGATCATGCTCTTAAATCGGTATAAATCTATCATTTCTTAATTTGTTTCTGCACCCATTTACATCCATCATGTGATCATCTTGAATATTTAAGTTAACATCTAAAGATGAACCTATCCCATGTTCTTTTACTTAGCTTTAAACATTATTATTGAAAACTGTTGACTGATCCTATTGAGCAAATATTTAATTTTCAAAGTCTCCTTTATTGAATGTTATTTAAAGCTATTAAAGCTGCTCCTCTTTTAATTTAGGTACTTCAATTTTTAATTATTCTTTATTCACTTATGATTTCATTTATGCTGTCTAACATTTTGAATTAGATTTCTCATTTGATTGAACTACTTCTTCTTTCTTATCTTTTTTTAAATTTATTTATGGCACTTCATTTGAATCCTTAGTTATCTTCTAAGCATTACCTTTTTCCTTTGAATTATTAGATCCCATTTTTGTAGTAGTAAAATTAATATAAAAATATTTCTAATAAATACGACTTAATTATTATTGTAATTATATTCAGTTTTTTTATTTTCATATTATCCTACCATTATTTTAAGGAAATACATAAATTATAAATAATTTTATATCAATATTTACTAACAATTACAGAATCAGCAATAAATTTAAACAAATTTTGCTTAAAAATAAATCAGCTAAAGCAAATAATTGATGAGATATATAACTGGAATTAACCAAAAACAGTAGTTAGGGTTCAAAACTTTTGGTTGCCGGTTAGCAAAAAAATGATTATCAATTATTGTGAATTTAATTAATCTCACTGAAGATATTATGATTTAGTCATTTTTATTTTAGTTAATATCACACTATTATAATTTCGATAAAATACATCAATCGCCAAAATGGGATCGTTAGATAAAAGGCAACTTTACATGAATTAAGCTGATTAATCAACTTCCTCAAAGTTAGATGAATGGGAATTAATCGATACAGACTTGAACTAATAGACAACTTTAGAAGACGAGGATAATATATTATCAGTCATAAGATAATACAAATTCGTCATTGGAATCTCTAAACCATAAGAAGTTAGAATTGGTTTAAATTCAATATCAAAAAGTAAAATTACAATCAAAGGTCGGTTGGGAATTCAAACTAAGTTCCCCATATCTCAATGATTATAAATGTTTATATATGATTTAATAAAATCATGTATTTTCAAAAATTGTATTTACTTCTTAGTCCATTTTTCAAAACTAACAAGAAATAATTAGACTGAGGATTATGATATTTAGAAAAAAGGCAAATTATTATTATAATCAATTGATACAAGAAGAAAGAGAAGTAATAAATACTTTTAAGTTTGTGCTGGTAAGACTTTGAAAAATATTTTACTTTTCATCACAAAAAAATGACTATATAGAAAAATTTATTTAAGCTTCAGCATCTTGCAATTCATGTTTTTATATTCAATTCATAAAATATTAAAGGAGATTCTCTTATTTAGGTTGATGTTATGAGAGACAATAAAGAAAAATTTATTTTGCAAAAAATGTATTTTATTAAATAAATAAATTTTTAATAAATATTTTATACTGATGATGTAATATTTTAAATAGTATTAAGTTTTTCTTAATAAATTAAATTTAATAATAAAATCAATTGGTTTTTACATGTGAACGATGGTAGATGTATATCATTCTAATAATTGAATATATTTAAGATATAATTATAATTTTGGAATAGATCTCAAAAATAAAATAGCAATTTCAAAGATCTGGTTTAGATAAAAATTCTTCAAATTTTAATTTCTTTTGTTAATAGATTGTTAATTACCATAAATTTTCATTTACTAATTTTGAAATCATTTTAGTTATATTTTACAATTTTATAGAATGATCTTAATAATAATATACACAAATAATGCGTTGGTTATTAAATAATTATTTAATAAATAATTTATGAATAAATTGTATCTCAAAATATTATAATTGATATTTCAAGGTTTGAGCATATTTTTCTTCCATCCACTAAGAAGAATATACAGCAAATTCAACATTATAATACCTAAGCATCCTAAACCCACCAAATACATATGTAATAGTATTTAACTTGTTATGACAATATCCCATCCACCAAAAAGCCAAAAGATAAATGCAAGAGACATAATTTAACAAAAATTAAATGCCTTCTAAATATAAGAGTAACTTAATAATAAATAAATTATACGTTGATTTCTAAACTACAACATTCAATATTCCAGGCTATGCATCACAGTCTAAATCTGACATACCAAAGCTTTCTTCTTTAAATATTATAACAAAGAATGTTTTAAATTAGAAATAGATTATTGATAATATCTATCCTGTAAAATCTTATTCATCAGAGAATAAATAAAATTAAATAAGGCCACATAGGCAAAATAACCCAAAATATTCATATTAAATATTAAATTCCTATAATTTTATATAAACTGAAACAACTAAGAGAAGTTTGACATATAATTCACAAATAAATTAAATACTCCATCTAATACTTAAAAATGAACTTCCAGCAAAAAAATTTAAATGCATAAATCCATTCACTATAGAGATTAAATTAAGACCTGCAATAACTAAATAGGGTATTTAAATATTTTCTAAGTCTTACATTTAAAGATAGAAAAACACTATCATTAAAGGGAAGTTGAATAATAATGCATCAAGCATTCTACATAATGTCATCATATGTTCAATTGTACTATCTTTTTTATTTTATACATATATGTAATAGATCCAATAGCAAATATCTAAATTAGTGATAATAAAGAATGTTATCTTAAACTATCTCCATCCATTCTCAAAGGAACTATCTAAATATGGTAGTTCATCAAGCCATTCATCATTCAAAAAATATATTAATAAACCTTTCAAAAGTTGAACAAATAGAAATAAACCCTAATTATATTTAAAATAATACTCCTAAAATTTCAGCATGATACAAATCTTAATCCTATATTATCAATTTAAGTGAAAAAAGTAAAGCAGTAGAAAAGACAGAATAATAAACTAGAAGTAAATATGTAGGAGTAAAGTATTTCTATATAAATCTATCTAACTTTGCAATACATCCTTCATTATTTTCATCTGTTTTTTCATCTGTCTGTCTCCTACAAGAGCATCCTTTAATTCGATTTAAAAAGCCTTCTTCAGCTTCAGGAACTACTTAGATAGGTTATTTTTCAGATTCTAATGGTTTAAAATCATTAGAATCTGGTTGTTGTCCTTGATTATAGTTTTAATCATAATTATTAAGTTATTCATTATTTTATTCCTTTCCAGATTTTTGTTAAAGATTATCCTATTTAAATTATTTGCTTGGTTACTTCTTATTCTTAGTCATCTTCCTCAAATTGAATTACTTGATTATCATTGTCTGTCATTGTTAACTGATTAAATATTTAATAATATAACTGTATATACAATAGAAGATATAAAATATAAATTTATTTGATTAAATCCTTTTTCAAAATGTCGATCTTGTCATATGAAATCCTCTTAACTTTGATTGTCTTTGCCCTTTATTACCTATATTATAGGAAGTTTAAATTCTTTACAATCGTGGAAAAATTAGAGCAACATAATATAAGAAACAAATTACCTAGAGGAAAATGTCCACCCTCCTATCCAAATGGTTGGTATCGTCTATGTAGATCTGGAGAGTTGAAATCAGGGTATTTTATAAATTAATAGATAGAGAAGTGAAAGAAATCAAATTATGTGGAAGACACATTGCATACTATAGAGGAACGGATAAAAATGTTTATGCAGTAGCTGCTTATTGTCCACACATGGGTGCTAATTTAGGAATTGGAGGTTAAGTAAAATTCAGATCCTGTATTGAGTAATTATTTTAGATCATAATTAGATGTCCATTTCATGGATGGGCTTTTGATGGTAAAAGTGGTCTATGTGTTAATTCTGATAAATTAGATCCAAAAATAGTTTCAACTTATTGTTATCCTGATATTGAGAGAGTGACTAAAAATTAGAAAGGAGAGTATTTATAGAAAATATCTGATGGAGAAGTTAAAATTAAAACTTATCTTGTTAAAGAACTTAAAGGAATTGTATATATTTGGCTACATTCCAAAGAATCAAAACCGTATATATTTATTATTAATATATATAGATGGTACGATTTAGTGAGTGAATAAAGTGAACATCTTACATTAAGAGCTGAAAGTGTAAATTATGTAAATTGTCACATTCAAGAAATACCAGAAAATGGTGCTGATATGAAACATTTTGATTATATACATTATTCAGCTATGGATATCATTCCATCATGGTTAGTATAATTAAGATGGGAAATGAGAACTAAAAATGCTAAAGATCCAGATTTTTTAGAAAAAATGACTCATCCAGTTGAAAAATGTAGAACTTATTAAAAAACATTATTTGATCAATATCTTGTTAATAAAGAACTTATTCCATATTTAAATGTTCTTTTATTAGATGGATATGTAATATTGTTTAATAAGTATAAATTTCATGCAGTTTGGGCAACTGGATTTTAAATGGGTCCAGCAACAGTTGCTTTATATGTAAAGAGTGCCATCTTTGAGGTATTATTTAAGTAGGCAATCTAACCTGTTGAAAAATTTACATAAAAAGTCTATCATACTGTATTTACTAATGGTTACTTACCTTATTGGTTATCAGCTTATCTTCTTCATGCTGAATTGAGACAAGTGATCTTTGATGTTAAATTATGGAATGCAAAGATATTTTCAGAAACATTAAGATATAATATGAAAACATATGCTGATCAAGCATTATTAAATTGGAGATAATGGTATTCCCAATTTTATGAAGGTTCTGCTGAATTTGAAAAGAGTTTAGATTAATTGGAATGGTGATTTGTATAAATATAATAATATTATAAAAATGATTATTTTAAATATTCAAATAAAAATAATAATACTAATGATATTTGAAATTATTAAATATTATTATACAAGCTTAACTAATATGGATTAATATATTATAAACTAATACTAAATTATAAAGATAATTTTATATTAATTAACTTAAAATCTGAACTACTTATGATTATTGTGATATGATCTGATTTATTCACGTTATAAAAAGTTAAATAAAGAAGAAAGACAACTAAATTTAATGATTTTTAATTAATAAATTTAATTATTAAGTTTAATATATAGAAATTTATAATAAAATCATTATAAGAATTTCGGAATTTCATTAGAATATTTTAAATAATTTTCAATTGTAATTTTCATATATTTAATGTACAAATTAATACTAGCAACTGTGATATTGTTATTCTTCTTAATCTTAGACAATCTTTTTGGAAGCTTAACATACAATATAAGTAATGAAATTACTAAGTTTCTTCAAATTTAATTTGAATATGGAAAAGAAACTGGATTTTTCGGTATAAATATTAACTATATTTTAGAATACATACTCCTAATATTTTCAACTGCAGGAGATGCAGAATGTACTAATATTTTAACTCTTTTGATATGGATCAAAGCTTAAAACAAAATTTAGATATTCAAGCTTATAACCATGAATGCAATTGCTGCTGCATTTGGGAACTTTATCAAGATGGTTATGACTTAACCAAGACCATTTTACTTAGATCCATAGATCAAACTGGATTTCTGCTATACTGGATTTGGAGATCCTAGTGGACATTCTTTAAGATCATTTGTATTCTATACAATACTGATTGAAACAATTATATTATAAAAATACAACATTTAAGAGAACAGTACAAATATTGAATCAGAAAAACAAGTTTAGAGTTTTAAAGAAATCTCAAAGTATTTAATTTCTGTTATTAATTTTAGTTCTGAATTATATAAATAGATTTATTCAAATCAATATGTATCCTACTCTAAATGCAAATTATTTATTGCAATTTTTGCATTCTTAATTGGAATTGGAAGGTTATATTTTGGAGTTCATTTTTTGAATCAAATCATAATAGGTTGGGTAATAGGAGGATATATAATTTATGTATATTATTATTGTGGTTTGGAGAAAATGATAGAAATAGCTTTCAAAAACTCTTTATTGTTGAACTCATACAGATACCTACAAATGTTATTGGCTTCATTTTTGATATTTACTTTTGCATATATCTTATATTTTGAAAGACATTATGAACAATCTTTAATAGATTTAAAATAATAATGGAAATAAAATATATTAAAGTAACCACAATGTACAACAGGAGGAGGGTACAATCCTAAAAATAAATTTGAAACTCATGATATCTCTGGAATCTCAATATTATTTTTGCCTTGTTATTTATTAGCCTTCTATTCAAAATAATAAATATTATTAAAAATTGAATCAGATTAAATATTAAATCAAGTTGGTTAAAATATATAGTATCTCATTACATATATTGTTGTATATTGGATTTAACTCTTAGAAGAATAAACATCAAATAAAATTGCTGGAATTTCTGAAACTAAGAAATTATTATGCAAAATATTTTTCACTCAATTTCATTACATAGAAATATCCATCTTATTTGTAATGATAATTCCTTTGAGTGTAAGATTAGTAACATCATTCTTGAAAAGATAGTAATTTAGTAGAATTAGTTAAATTGATTAATCAGAAATGGAAATGGTATGAAATTTTTCTATATATTTTATAATACTCTTAATTTCTAATTAAAAGTTAAATATATTTTATAATTTAACATCTAAATGAAATCATAACTCAATTTTTTGCTGCTTCTAAAATATTAATCATTTAATTCTTTTTCTCATCAAAATTAAACTAAATTATTAATTAATAAATATAATTACTGTTGTAGACTTTTCAATGTTATTAAAAGTTTACAAGAAATATGCTTTTAATAGTGTTAATTGTACTTTTCCAGTTCTATCCCTATTCAATTCGTTTATCTTTTTATAAATTAAATCAACAAAAATGGAAAATGTTGTTTCTGCTTCCTTATTAAATTTCAATAATAATAATAATCTATTCAAACAACTTAACATTTGTTTTACAATCAAACCATTTTCCTTTTTAAATATAAAAATATATAATTACAATTGAATCTGTAATATTTAGTTTTATAATTGCTGCTGCTTATTCTCCTAATTTTGTATACAATTATTATACTAATTCTAATATAGTTAAACTAAATTAAGAATCCTTATTAAATAATGCATCATTTGATTTCACATTTTCAAAATGATAAGGCAATCTTTCTTAAACTTATGCACATAAGTATTGTATACAATTAACATATATTACAATTGAATAAATTCCTCCATTTTTTGGATTCCATTTCAATTATTCAAATGCCTTTAATAAACCTTAAAAAATATTTAAGTAACCTGCAGAAGGGTCATCAGGAACTATAATAATAAAAGAAATCAAATCCAATATATATGGAGTAACAACTTCATCTATGGGACGACCATTATGAGTTTCAGGTAATTCAAGTAATGTTTCAATTGTTGTTTTAACTACCGCTTCACTTTAAGATAATAAATTTAATGATAATCCTACTTAAGCCACTTAAATATATTTTCTTAATTTTGATATTGGATTATCTATTGTAGGAATAGTTATAAAACTATAAGCAATACAAGCTTAATAAAATGAAATTATTTTTTTTTGATTTTTTCCTTTAGATAATCTTTTACCTTTAAAAATTAAATCTAAAGCTCTATCTATTAAAATTTCAGATAGACCACTTATATTTCCAAATTAAGCTCTCATTTCAGCATACAAATTCAATGTTTATTCTAAATCTTTACCAAAATCAATCTTTTATAATAATAAATTAATTATTTTTGCCAAACTTTTTTATTCATCCTTAGTAATAGATTTCTTATTATTTAAATTAGCTGTCAATTTAACGATTGAATGTACAGCCATAGGATCAGATATTTTTTCCTTCTAATCCCTATTAATAATCATTGATAGCAAATCATTACAAACTAATTTCTTCATATCTTCTGGGAAAAATTAAATACAAGTAATAAATGTATCAATTTAAAGTATTTCTGATATATCTTAAGAGTCTTAAAATATTTTAATAATAAATTAATGTAATTTTATAAATGTTTCTTTACTTTAATTTGTATTTACTTAATCCTTTTCAACCATACTAAATAAATCATTAAATCTTTATAAAATCAAGAAAAAAAATTAATTTTTCTAATATCCCTAAAAAGATCTAAAAATCAATTCAATTAATGATGCCAATATCTCTAAAAATAATGGAAATGACTTTATTTATAAAATGTCTTATAAAACATATTCACATATCTCAGAACCAGCAGCTACATTAGTTAATCCCTTAGCTATTTTAGGTAAAAAACAAGCATATAATTAATATTTATTATCTACTGGATAAGCTTACATTATTGAAAATAACTCTAATGCTAATGTACTAATATGAACAGCTTAAAATTATTCAATCATCTTTTTTAAAACAAAATGATTTTATGTACTCTATCTAAAATGTTCAAAAATATCTTTAAATTCTCTCTATAATTATATTTAATTAAATATGATACTTCTGTACAATTTTATGAATATTATCTAAATGTTTATATTAAATATGGTTCAAATAATCTTAAATATTAATCTCCCTATATATCTAATTTTCCAAATTTATTTTTTTAATTCATATATATAAAGAAATCTTTTAATGTTGATATAAGATAATCTTTCTCTCCTGAAAATAATTCTGCTCCTATTCTAAATAAATAAAGTGCAAAGTACAAAGCCTAATATTAATAAATTCAATTTATACATTAATATAATCACCAATTGCTCTAACTTATTTAATAAGTCTATTGAATATTGGTTTTATTTAACTTTAATCAATAAAATAATAAACTTTCAATAGAGTAGCTTCTATATATAATCTAGGTAACAATTCTCTTATAGATCCTATCTTATTTATCCAATTTCTTCCTATTTCTGATGCTGTTTCAGAGATATTTGATCCTACTACACTTTATAAACTAATTTCAGCTATTTTTTGATCTGTATATTGTGGATAACTTAATTTTAGTAATCTCTCAATTACATATTTACCAAATGTTTCCAAAATATCAATTATATAAACATATTTTATAGGAGCAAAGAGAGGCTTATCATTATCAATTAATAATTTGCATGATTATATTGCTAATTATAATGATGCTACTTTATCTCCATTAATCCATTATCTCTTTAAATCTCTTCTAATATCTAAGACTTTTTGAATATATGTTTTTTATAAAATCATTTTAGATGTCCCTTACTTTGGAGCCTGTGTCTAATATTCAATTTTACTATCTCCACTATATGCTGTTTTTGCTTATCCATCAAATTAATTCATAGATTGAACATTGGATCCAAAAGGCTAGGATATAATTTTTTCATACATTTGGTACTGGTTGATCTAAATCATATGTTTTAATTTGAAATATGTTTTAAAAGTCTTCCCTTATTTCTTACCAATAGATTGAAAATTCTCCTGTAGCTTTTAATTATTTCTCTTCTGCATCAATTTCAAGTTTTCCTTCTTATTATTATTATTGTTATAGCTTATTTGGTTCAACACTTTTAGCCTAGGCCTAAGTTTATGACTATTCTATTTTTTATGTTGGTTAAACAGAAGGTCTAGCTAATGGATCTACAGTTTGTGGTCTGCTTAATGGATTTGTTTAAGTTTTTTAATTAGTTGCTCTAGATAAAGGATCAACGAAATTTCCTTTTGTTCTTATTTACACATTTGCTTTTCTTCCTCTTTATATTGTGACTTTTGGTCTATCTAATCTCAATGGATTGTCTGTAGTTTATTATAATTAAATAGCTCTAGTTTTATAAATAAATTCGTAATCCTTCTCTTTAAACACTCTAATAGATATCAAATAAATAAATACATTTGAGATGTCATTCTTAAAGAAATAATATTGAATAATTTATAATAAATATATCACAATTATTGATAACTCTCAATTTAATATGTTAAATCCTATACTGAATTAGGAGCCATTCTTAATAGCTTTAAATATTTTTCTGAGTAATTTTTGATTATATTATTCTAATTAAAGATCAACAAAGTGAAACAAACTTTGGATATCTATGTAAAAAAATTAATCTTTTATCTATAGAATTTATATATAGAATAAACCTTTTAATTTTCTCTATTTAATTTGATTCTTCTTTTACCTCCTCAACCAAACCATCATAAGTTGCCTCTATGATATTGGCCTCAATAAAATCTGATTAGGTAAAGATATTATTATTTTTGATACTATGCATCAAATAATGCTTTTTATTAGAAACAGAAATATATATTAAAGAACTTAATGTAATTAACTTTCTTAAAGGTGTAACATCTGATAATTCCAAGCACTTAAAATAACTGATAAGTAATTACAAAATTAATTAATATCTAACTCCATTTAATAATGATTTCATAAGCTTAAGAATTAGGAACTCTGTAATTATTCTTATCAGCCAACATATCTAATGCAATTAACCAAAGTAATTTATTTAAAGTACTTGATTTCAATAATTCTATTATGGTTTGATCATTTTTAAATTAACCATCATTCCAAATAGAATTAACATGGATTTGGAAAAATTTAAAAAGTCCTTAAATACTTTCTCCATTAATCATATTGTCAACATCCTTCTATTCAATAGATTATTAATTCTACGATTTAAAAACAATTAATACATTCTTCAAAACAATATCTGAAAAAATAGTTTAAAATGTTTCAGAATAGGCTTTAATTATATCTGTTAATTTATGATATTCTTAAGATCTTAAAGACTCAATTTCTCTAATTAAAAATGAACAATAATCTTTAAATTCTATCTATTATGGTTAATAATCTGGTCTTGAATATTTCATTATAAAATTTTCAATCTCATCTTAAATATTTGTATTCTTTATTTATTCATTAAACTTTTCAATTTCTTAACATTACTATTTATACATTGAAACTTCTATTAAGAAAACTTTTAATAATGTATCCTTATGAACTAATAATTTTGTCTACTCAAATTCTTCCATTTAAATAAGATAACTTTCCATTTTTGTTTTATAAACATCCAAAAATTCATTGTAAGCTATAGTTGATAATTAATATTATTTCTTTAATTTAGAACATTCAATTGATATATATTAAGTTCTAAATAATATTTGATAATAAAATATACTTGCATATTTATTTTATAGTTTAATCTTCTGGAACATCAAAACTATGTTAATAAATCATATCTAAAATTGCAGATTATTCAAAGTCTCTTGATTTTAATTTGTAATCCATTCTTGTAGATAAAACCTAACTCTTTTTTTCTGTTAAAGTCTCTTCTAATAATTTAATTTCATCTATAATTTTATTAGAAATCTAATTCTATTAATAAAGTGTCTCCTTAATCTAATTTTTAAATTCTGTTCTAATTAATTCAATAAAATTTTCAATCCTTGTAATCTTATTTTTCAATTAATTAACTAACTATTCCCTCATAAAAATAAAACTAATTCATTTTTGAATTTCATTTACTTTGATTTATCAATTTATAATTATAATTTACTTAAAGCTTTTGCATAATTTTCTTCAATATTAGCTCTTTCCTACATTATTATTAAATATTCCTCCAATCCCTTTTTACTATCTATGTTTTAATTGATTATTTTATCTGATTATCCCTATAGAGATATCAAAAATTAGGAATACAAGTAGATGTGGATAATAAGCAAGTTTCTCTCTTTAATTCATTAATAATTTAAAATAATATAGATTGAATAAGAGAATGTAAAATTGTGGAATAACAAAATTGTTTTGAGAATTCAATATTCTTTTTTCACTTCATAATATTCCTTTTGCTATCTTTATTGATATTTCTTATATCCAGTAAATTCACTTAAATCATTCTCTAAACGATCTAAATATTAATTAAAATTTAATACTATAATATGGTTATTTCCTATTATTTGATTTATTATGATACTTATTATATTCATAATTATTTCTTCTCTTTTATTACTAAATTATAAATAAATATTTACATATCCATTTTATTAATATCCATATTTAGAATATTATTTTTATTCATACAATTCTACTTAATGTGTTTTTTTTTAATTATTTCTTTCCACTGAATTTTCTTTATTTGATTCTGTTTCTCCTGATATTTACATCTAATTGGTTTATAATTGAGAATTTTAAGGTTCTACTTCTGTACTTATTATTTCAATAGAATTTTTCTTTTCACTAAATTTTGGATTCTCTTAACCTTCTTGAATTTAAATTTATTGTATTGGATTCAAATGAGGTAAAAATGAAAACATTGATTATTATTCTTACAGAGGAGCATAATTTAATTCTATTTTTTCATTTGATTTAATTTGATTTAATCTTTAATTTGCAATGTCAAAGGAAGTACAATCTTATTATTATTAATAAAATTTCTATTATTAATATTATTTGTATTAATTCTATTGGGGATATTAATGATGTTAAAATTATTATTGTTCAAATTACATATCTTCATAATTTCTTGCATTATTCATTCTTTACTCTTAAAATTATTATTACTTAGATTAAACAATATTTAAGAATTTGTTAAAGAAATCTACTTCCTCCATTTTCGCATTTTGAATTGCAAACTTAAAATTTCATATGATATTGTTACTGTAACTTTGCATTATTATATTTTACTAAAACCTCTCTATGCTTCATCTTCATTATCAAATATAATGAACAATTTTATCAAATCTTTATTTGCTATATACTCTGCTTCTTAAATTTCATATTCTTTTGAAATATCTAATTCTAACAAAAATTTCTTAAATTCATCCACATGATTCTTTTTGATCAAAATTTACACTTATTTTCTTTCTTTTGCAAAAATGGGTCTAATTACATTAAAAGTTTAATCAAAAATCCAATTACTATAGTTATATTAGATCAATATCTAAAAAGTTAATTATCAAATTTATACATTTGCTAGAGTTTCTATTACATATGGATAATCTAGATATTGTCTAAAGCTTTTTTCTTTAGCCAAACACTAAAGCCTTATACAACCTGTGTTAGGATCAAATTTTCTTAATAGAAAATAGTTTCTGCTTAAGAATTAAAAACTTAAAATATGTCTCAACTATAATAAAATGATTAATATACTTATTAGAGAATATTTTCATCAACAGTCTGCTATTACATGATATTTTTATTTTGAATTCAAAATAATTAATGAAATTTGTTTATACAATAAAATTTTGCAAAAGAATAAAAGAAATATTATATATATTAGAATTAATTTAAATGATATTTTAATTGAAATTTTAAGATATTATAATCTTATGGAGATATTAATATAATTTGATAAAATATATATAAATCAAATCATGTTTTCTACAAGGTTGTTTATTCTTTCCTCTCTATAACCCCATTCTCCTTGTTTTGTTAAAGGTTTTTTAATTTTACCACTTTTTAATTATCCTTCTGGATGATTTAATTTTAATGGTCTAATAATTATTAAAATAAAATACACTAAGAATTTAGTAACAAAATCGAAATTCTCTGATGCATTTGCTATTGTATTTACAATATCTTCAACACAAATAATATCCTTTTCACTCATATATTCTTCTATAATTTCATTTGATTTTAATGCAATAATTTCTTTTTCTTTCATTATGTGTCCTCTCTTGACAATTAAATCATTGATAATTTATCTTGTTGGTAATCTAAATAAATTTGGAATCCATACCCATAAGTTATATAATTTTCAACTAATTTTAACTTCTTCCAAATATCTACAGTAGTCTTCACAAATACAGCTGTATTAACCTTGTTTAATCTTAATTCCTTCAGTATTTTTTATTGTTTGTTAGAGATATCTTTAACACTAAAATAATCTAGTTAAAATTTTATACCCTCTAATTCTCACCACAAGTAATGTTTTATTAATTGGAATAGATTTTACATCAAGTGTTTCTAAATTCTATTTACGTTCCTATTTAAGTTATATAAAGAGAATACTTTTCTTTTGAAATAAGAATATGCTGTTTATTATTTACGATATTTATCTACAAACTTTTCAGGATGAATAAAATCCTTAGTCTTTTATTTTTTTTTTAGAATTCTCTCCTTTATTTAACGTGCTCTCTCTTCATTTAGACTTGATTAATGCTTTCTCTTTTTCATTATGTCTGTAAGAACATATTTCTTCCTTAAAATGATAATGAAATATTATACTATGCTTGTGGTATATTATCCATCAACGATTAATTTAAATAAATTCAAAATATGAATGAAACTCAAATCAACCCAGAGAATTATTATAGATTAGAATGTGTAATTGGAGAAGGATCTTATGGCTAAGTTTATAAAGGCATATAATTGGATAATGGAAAGGTAGTAGCTATTAAAATAGTACCATCATCAGGAGAGATTGAATCACTCAAAAGAGAAATTCAAATACTTAGAGATTGTAGATGTGATAATATTGTTAAATATTTTGGATCTTATCATTCAAATGGATAGTTATGGTTAATAATGGAATATTGTTAAGGAGGAAGTGTTATAGAATTGATTAAGTCTTTGTAAAATCCTTTACCTGAAGAAATCATAGCTACGATTCTATATTAAACATTAAAAGGCATTGATTATATGCATAGTCATAAAAAAATACATAGAGATATTAAATGTGGAAATATTCTAATTGATCATTTAGGCAATATTAAATTAGCTGATTTTGGTGTTTCCACTTAATTAGTACATACTATGGCAGACACTGATACAGTTATTGGAAGTCCTTTTTGGATGTCCCCAGAGATTCTATTAAAATCAAGATATAGTAAAAAGACAGATATTTGGTCATTGGGTATAACAGCTATTGAAATGGCAGAAGGTGAACCACCTTATGCACACATACATCCAATAAGAGCAATGTTTGCTATTAAAAATAATCCTCCTAACTCTTTAACTGATTAAAGTAAATGGTCAAAAGAATTTAATTAATTTGTTAAAAGATGCCTAATTTTAGATCCAAAGGAAAGACCTTCTACTAAAGATTTATTATAGGATCCATTCTTTTAGAAATACTGTAGAAGTAGAGAATATATTCAATAATTCATTTTAAAATACAAAAAACAAATTGAATCATATAAATTAAGTAAATAGTAGAAGTAGCATGAATAATAATTTTAATTTTCTTAAGAATAAGTAGGAGTTCCATTAGATACTTTAATAGAATGTGAAGAGGAAGAAGATCTAGGAACAATGATTATCAATAATGTTGATGCCATTTAAATGAATGAGACAGGAACTATGTTAGAACATCAATATGAAGATGCAGATATCTATGAGAAAGCTATGAATAGAGTAGTATAAATATATTTTTTATTTTATTTTATTAGTCAGAATATGGATTATCAAGTTTGAATCAACAGAGAACAAATACCATAATATCAGAATCACCTATATTAAAAAAGAAATAAATTGAAGATAAAATTAATTAGTTAAATTAAGAGATGCAAAATGAAATTAAATAAGTTAAACTTAAATATGGGGAATAGATTAATTCACTTTAAAAAGCTTTAAATTAAATAGTAGTTTAGAAACATGAAACTCATAAGTCTGTGCATGAATAGAAAGGATTTGCTATATCAACTAATTATTTTAAATAATTAGAATAAAAAAATAAATTTTCGGCTCCTTCTACTCCTGTTTAATCGTAAAGCAAATATAGATTAGATCAAGAAAACCTCAATTTGGAAAATCAATTGAAATAAACTAAATATTAATCAACAAATTTACAGTATCACAATATTTAAATTTAGAAAATTATAATTACAAATTCAGAATAGAATAAATGATGTTCCAAAATTAGATAATAGTTAAAAACTAATAAAATAATTAATTAACAGAAAAAATTGATTTTGATTCTAATAAGTTTTTGTCTAATTTTTATTATTTATAGAAATTATTATAATCATTAATTTTAAATATTGATTATAATTAATTGATATTGCATGTAAATTATTATTCTGGTCACAAATTAATTTTAATAACTAAAATGCCTAGAAAAACAAAAGCTCGTTCTCGATTAGATAAATATTACAACCTTGCTAAGGATCAAGGATATAGATCAAGAGCAGCGTTTAAATTGTTCTAATTAAATCGAAAATACAATTTTCTCAACAATGCAAGAACAGTAGTAGATTTATGTGCTGCTCCTGGAGGTTGGATGCAAGTCTGTGCTCAAATAATGCCTACAAGTTCAACCATTATTGGTTTGGATTTAGTTCACATTAAACCAATTCCAGGATGTAAAGCATTCACCTAAGACATTACAACACCATAATGTGTATAATTACTTAAAAAGGAAATACCATAAAAAGCAGATGTTATCTTACATGATGGTGCTCCTAATGTTGGAGCTAGTTGGGCTAAGGATGCTTATAACTAAAATGATCTTGTCCTGTCTTCCTTAAGATTGGCATCATAATTTTTAAAGAAGGGTGGAGTATTTGTGACAAAAGTATTTAGATCAACAGATTATAATTCATTAATGTGGGTCTTTAATAAATTTTTTACAAAGGTAGAAGCTACTAAACCTTTAGCAAGTAGATTTGTTTCAGCTGAAATATTTGTTGTTTGTTTAGATTATTTAGCACCAGAATATATAGATGAGAAACTATTTGATTCTAAACATGTGTTTAAAGATACTGAAACAGATATGTTATAGTAATAAATTTAAAAAGAAATTGTTTCTGTTGATAAAATTCTTTAAAAAAGAACTTAGAGACATAGAAGTGGATATGCTGATGATGTTCATTAAACTGTTTATTAAATGATAGATTTTGAAGAGTTTCTTCATGCTGATAATCCATATCCAATATTTATTGAATATGCTGGAATCAAAATGACTGAGGAAGCTAAAGAAAAATATTTGGGTCTTACAAAACCCCCATAAGATTATCAAATATTGATGGAAGATATCAAAGTATTGGGAAAGAGAGAAATTATATAATTATTAAAATGGAGAAGTAAAATCAAGCATTTTTTATCAAAATAAAAGAGAGAATAAAAATAACTACAATAATAGGAGGAACCATAANTTCTACTCCTGTTTAATCGTAAAGCAAATATAGATTAGATCAAGAAAACCTCAATTTGGAAAATCAATTGAAATAAACTAAATATTAATCAACAAATTTACAGTATCACAATATTTAAATTTAGAAAATTATAATTACAAATTCAGAATAGAATAAATGATGTTCCAAAATTAGATAATAGTTAAAAACTAATAAAATAATTAATTAACAGAAAAAATTGATTTTGATTCTAATAAGTTTTTGTCTAATTTTTATTATTTATAGAAATTATTATAATCATTAATTTTAAATATTGATTATAATTAATTGATATTGCATGTAAATTATTATTCTGGTCACAAATTAATTTTAATAACTAAAATGCCTAGAAAAACAAAAGCTCGTTCTCGATTAGATAAATATTACAACCTTGCTAAGGATCAAGGATATAGATCAAGAGCAGCGTTTAAATTGTTCTAATTAAATCGAAAATACAATTTTCTCAACAATGCAAGAACAGTAGTAGATTTATGTGCTGCTCCTGGAGGTTGGATGCAAGTCTGTGCTCAAATAATGCCTACAAGTTCAACCATTATTGGTTTGGATTTAGTTCACATTAAACCAATTCCAGGATGTAAAGCATTCACCTAAGACATTACAACACCATAATGTGTATAATTACTTAAAAAGGAAATACCATAAAAAGCAGATGTTATCTTACATGATGGTGCTCCTAATGTTGGAGCTAGTTGGGCTAAGGATGCTTATAATTAAAATGATCTTGTCTTGTCTTCCTTAAGATTGGCATCATAATTTTTAAAGAAGGGTGGAGTATTTGTGACAAAAGTATTTAGATCAACAGATTATAATTCATTAATGTGGGTTTTTAACAAATTTTTTACAAAGGTAGAGGCCACTAAACCTTTAGCAAGTAGATTTGTGTCAGCTGAAATTTTCGTGGTTTGTTTAGATTATTTAGCACCAGAATATATAGATGAAAAATTATTTGATTCTAAACATGTATTCAAAGATACTGAAACAGATATGTTATAGTAATAGATTTAGAAAGAAATTGTCTCTGTTGATAAAATTCTTTAAAAAAGAACTTAGAGACATAGAAGTGGATATGCTGATGATGTTCATTAAACTGTTTATTAAATGATAGATTTTGAAGAGTTTCTTCATGCTGATAATCCATATCCAATATTTATTGAATATGCTGGAATCAAAATGACTGAGGAAGCTAAAGAAAAATATTTGAGTCTTACTAAACCCCCATAAGATTATCAAATATTGATGGAAGATATCAAAGTATTGGGAAAGAGAGAAATTATATAATTATTAAAATGGAGAAGTAAAATCAAGCATTTTTTATCAAAATAAAAGAGAGAATAAAAATAACTATAATAATAGGAGGAACCATAAAGTGCTGAATATGAAGATCTTGATGAAGCTGAAGGAGATAAAGAAGTAAATGAAGAAGAAGAAGAAGTAGAGGAATAAGATGATCTTGAAAAATTGGTAGATAAATAAAAAGAAGCTTTGGAATAATAATATATTGAAGAACAAAAGAAAGAATTAAAAGAATAAAGAAAATAAAAATAAAAATAAGCTTAATAAGAAAAGAAATTAGCTGGAAGAGGAATAGGATTCACTCCTTAAGAAGAAGATTAAGAATTATTTTAATTTTCTAAACATAAGAATTTACTGAAATTAGGTTATGTAGATGTAGAAGATAAATAAGAAGAGAAATTAAAGAAAGAGAAATTGGCATTTAATAATTAAAAATAATTAGATCAAAATTTAGAATTAATTTATGAAAATAAAAAATAAAAAAAAGAAAATGCTTTAGAAAGAATTAGAAATAAAAAGTAAGCCTTAGAATCTGAATAAGAAGAAGTTGATGATGAGGATCTTGCTTGTAAACCAATTAAAAAAGTTAAGAAATAAGATGATCATTTAAAGATTTCAGATTTAAA